GAATGTTATCAAGAGGAAAGAACAAGTTCGTAATAATTAGAATATCTATTTTATATGATTGTTAGAAATTGTTAATCACTGTATCTTGTTTCAAGAGGTTGATGATGCTCCGAAGAAGGTGGAAGAGCTGAATAAGCAAGTAGCTGGTAGAGACAATGTCATCAAGTCGAAAGAACAGGTTGGTAGTAGTTAGAATATATATTTTATATGATTTAAAAATCATTAGGAAGTTGGTAGAGAATTGTAGTGTTTTCTATTGCAAACCTAGTTGGTTCAAGTCTTGGGCAAAAATGTAACGCAATTACTCATATTTCTCAAACGAAATGTGAATATATTGATTTTTTAAATGGTCCTACTTACTAAAAAGATCCAATGAATATGTTTCTATTTGTCATTTTATTCGATCATTTCTATTTTGCAAAAGATGGTGGATAAGCTTTCCGATTGGTTCCAAAAGATAATCGCTCCTAGAGGAGGAATCACTGGAGCTGAGCTTGGGACATTGATGGGAGCTTTTGTGGCAAGTGTGGCATATGTGGTGTCTCTTGGAAACAAGCAGATGAAGATCACCTTCTTTGGGGGATTGATAAGCTTGCTAGGGATAATAACATCGTCACCCACTTTTCAATGGTAAGTATACTATTACAGTTAATTTGATATTATCTTGGGTATGCAGTAATTTTATCTTATTTGATCAGGCACAACATGCACATTTGAAATATACTTTTCTTCAATCGGCCACATCTGTACCTTGGGTCCTTTTTGGAGGTTTAGTCCCCCTTTTGATTGGAGGGTTTATTCAGCCATGGGCCTTAGAGCTATCATCACAGGAAGTGCATCTTTGGTATTGAAGATGGTCTTTGCCTTCTTATGGACTATCATCTACAAGATCCCATGGAGGCAACATTGTTCTCATAGTTGTGGGTGGTATAGGTCTAGCAGCAGGTGCTCCATCACTCATCCAGTTGGTAGGGAAGAAGATTTAATATTAGTTCTAAGTAGAAGTAGAAGAATTTCAAGACATTTTTGAACGATGTTTCCTATCAGAAAACGTTGACCTGTGCAACAAGCTTCATATAAAGGGATCACTCTAGTTTGTTTCCATCTTGCTTAGAAACTTAGATGTTATGTCTCACTCATTTTCATAGTAGCTTCAATTCCTTTGACACATAGACTCATTATTAACATATATACAAGATATTGCAGTATCATAATGATTAAAGAGTTGTAGCATTGTGTATTACAATATTATACCAAATCAGAAACACATACAAGAAAAGCTAATATCCTAAGCCAAAAGAATGGTTTTTTTTTATCACAAAACTCAAGAACAATGTACAAAAGCTAATTCCATAAGCCAAAAGATTGGTTTTGCTTTTTTTTTTTTGTCACTTTCATAGTTTTAGCAAAAAACGATATTTCACAATTTTGATAGAAAAAGCAACTTCAGGGTTTTGGCAAGAAAATGTTTATTCTCAATATTTCACACTTTCTCCTCACTTTTTCTTTACCAGGATTTGTTTTGTTTTTAAACAAAATCCCATTAATAAATGTTTTTTTCACAAAAAAACGAGATAAACATGATTTTTAGTGTGAGTAAACATGAATTTCAATTACTTTTCTTTCGGTTAATAATTTCAACTACTTATGATAAATCTTTATTCTTACAAACTAATTTCCATGAGAAAACTCTCTTGCAAAAAAAAATAAAACTAATTTCCATTATATTATAAGATTTTAGCCATAAGATAATTAATTAAAGAATATATAATAATCTTTTTCTTGTTAGGAATAAAACTTGTACTGGATCGATCATGATCCAATCAGTTTTTTTTTTTTCTTTTTGGGTCAAACCAGAGGCTATATATATTAATAGATAATTATCGTTGGGATGCAGCTGATTACAATAATTTTATTTTTTCTTTTTTTTGCTAATTTTTCTTGTTGTTGCATAATTAAATACACGTAGATGGAGTATCCATCAAAGGGGTCACTGGAATGGATCGACATACGATTGATACTTCTGTTCTCGGTGATGATCTTCTTCCTCATTGTTATCTTTCTCTCTCTCGTGGGATGCTTCTTCGTACTCCGACATGTGGGGAACTATAGTAACCACGATTACAACTTATACAATGATTATGTTCGAAGATCAAAGATGCAATCTACTACGACCTAGACGAAGATGAATCCATCCTCCTTAGCTTATACTAGAGAATATATATGACATCTTTCTCAAATTGTTTTGGATTCTTAATTTGTTGGTCTTTAAATTAAACGAGATTTGTTTCTGTTCTTTAAAAAAAAACATTCCTGTCTGTGGTTTTACAATATTGCTACTCATTCATCTTAACCTTCTTTCTCAATTAAGAAGATCAAACGAATTATTTCTCAATAATCTGGAATTCTTAATTTTAATTGACGATCATCGATTAATCATTGAGATAAATTGTGTCAATTAACTCTGACAGGCGATTTGAAGAGGGTATAAATTTCTACATGCTTCACCCAAAGCATTCATCCTCAACTCATGATTAGCAACACTACTTCTCATTCCCTCAGGATTAGGGTTTGTATTATATTCCAATTGTTCATCTTTCTTCATTAAATGGGAACCGGTTTGTAAAAAGTAGTAGAAAGCAACCATTAATTTTCAGTTACATGAATATTTATGCCTTTAACCTTTGATAAAATTCATGTACGTGGAGAGAGCAGAACATAAATAAGCAGAATTCCATTGGAAGTAAATTATATCTCTTGTATAATAAATAAAGACACAGAGTCTAAAACCTCAATAGAAGCAAAACATAATTAAGTAGTTAATTCCATTGCTCGTCGATGACTAGAGTTATCTTATAAAGTAAATTATATAAATTTTTCTTACACCCCAAAAAAAAAAAAAAAAAAAAAAATTCACAAATCGATCTTACAGAAATATCTTCAAGCTCGATTGATGATGCTGGATTCGTGGTCCTGATTCTGCTCGTCGATCTTCTCGTCGGTTATTAGAATAGTATTATGAGGGTTTATCAAGAGATAGCCACTCACGAAACGAAATGTATCCAATTATTCCCAACGATATAAAGAAAACGAATATGCCTCCAGCCAAGAAATATCCAATTGTTGATAACGATTCTTCTATGGAATCGCCATGATCATCCATGGTCAAGCGATCGACAAAGGGTCCAACTTTATTTGTGATAATATTTAATAAAGGTTTTCAAGAAGCAATTATATAAGTTGGTAAGCCTAGTTCTGGTTGTAATCAAATTAGAAAAATATAATTTGTTAAAAATACTTGATTTAACTTTTTTATTTGTTAAGATAAATATCTTCGGAAGATCAATACAATTTACTAACATAGGAGTATGCATATATATTAACAAAATAAAAAATAATTAGAAAACTAGATTAGATAATGTCCTATCTTTTAAAAAAAAAAAATAGGATTCCTAATGTGAATTGAATTACTCGTCGACTTATATATTATACAAAAGTGTCGTAATTTTACATATGCTCAATTATCAATAATGGAACATATGGGACCTCCTCCGTTTTCATCTACTTCTGCAACGTTCCACGCACGGCGCGATGATATAATAGAGCTTGCAACCCTGTTTTTCTTCTTAATCTTTTACTTTGCCGGCTTCTATGTGATCATGTCCATGGCAGTATTGGATTGGTTGATTAGTAAAGAAAAGACTAAAAAGGAATATTTTCGCTTACGCGATGTCGAACTCGGAAGGCTGCCGGCTGGAGAGCTCATCCAAGAGTAATCAGATGGAGAGGAAAGCTGATTTCTGAAGACAATGATCTCAGAGATTATTTATTATTAAAAGCTATGCTCTTTTTGTTAGGGTTTATATACTTGCTTAATTACCGTTTTTAGTATTATGATTTGCTAGTCAGTTAAGGGCTTCTGTTCAATTGCTATTATTTTGACTTTCAATGGGATTCCTTTATTGTTCTTTTTAGATTGACCCACAAATTTTCTAATATTACAAAATTGTCTAACATCACAAACCTTGGTGGACATATTTTTCTTCAACTAGAAAGAAGAAATGACATTTTGTTTGGTTCTAAATATATACGTAGATGATGTAGAGTCAAACCAGTCTAGCTATCGTCATAAATCGTAAGCTTGGAGAGCAAACTGGAGGAGCTTCAATAGGGTTTTAGGTTAGAAAGAAGAAAAAACAACGCAACAAATCACTTTGAATGGTTGAAGAAAATCGGTTTGGTCCAAATGATTGGATGGTTAGGAATAAACCTGAAAAGAAGATTGGCCGATCACTTTAGCAACAATATAATGACAAGTTCACAACCAATCCTCTTTTATTCAATACTTTATTTTTTTTTCAATTTCTGCAACTAAGGGCTTTGGATGATTGAAGAAAACCGGTTTGGTTAAGTGATTGGATTATTGGATGGTTAGGAGTAAATCTGAAAAGAAGATTGGGGTTTCGATTGCTATGGCTTTCGATTTTCTTTAACGACAGAGAGAAAGCCTTTTTTTTTTTTTATTCCTTCTCGAGAAGAAGATTAGGGTTTCTTTAATTACTCTACGTTAATCGATTTTCTGTCTTTTTTCTAGAGTTTGTAAACATTTTTTTTGATAACTTTTTCATTAAAAATAAGTCTAACGTAATATTTACAAAAACATAAAAAAATCTACCATCATTCAAAATGTAAACGCCACTCGCAAAAACATCAATGGCAAACTTTGTTTTTAAATTTTATTTTTTTATTAATAACTTTTTTTAATTATTAAACATTAAAATAAAACCGGCAAACTATGGATCCATTTCCACTCTATGTTAGAATAAAATATTTGTAGATTTAATAGATATGCTACACCTACTATACGTGGATTATTAAAAAGTGTGAGTTTATCAAACCCTTTTACAAGCTACTCACAACATTCTTATTCCCTAATTACCATTTTTCCACACACCAACGATAAAAGTTTAATAAGAGGACAGTTTTATTTATACATCTTCTTAGTATTTCAGTTCCTGAAATAGAGGATCAACGCTTTGTCCCCAGTCTCCATTGTACAACTCCAAGAGCTTCTCTGCAGGCGTAACCCCTGATTTTTCCAAGAAAATTAGAACTGAAATATACACTAATACTACCAAAACTCTAAGCTAAATAGGATAAACAAAACATTACCTGTTTTAACCACCACGGCGATCGCGTTTAAGAAACCGGTTTCCTTGTACCCTCGACGCTCCAAACCATCCTAAGCAATAACAACAACAAAAACTTTAGTACGTTAACATATATTACAAGGAGAACACAAGCAGACATATGAGACCTTTGCTAGCTTTAGGACATCTTCTGCGACATGCTGCAAAGGACCATCTCTAAACATTGTCTTTAGGCCAGTGATTGGAACCTGTTGAAATCCAAGGAAAATTGATTTAAACGAGGATACAATATTGCACAGAAAAATAAGGTCTTTTGCTCTCTGTTCCAAGTTTACTTGTGTCCTAAGCATTTCTCTTTCTTCAGGAGTCCAATCAGATATCATATCAAGAACAGTTTGGAGAGACTCCTCATCGTATAGCAAACCCACCTGAGATTCAAATACATTCGAAATAGTTCCACGAAACCATAGTCTGTATATCTTTATACAATAGACGATGTGTAATTACTAATAATTACCCAGAAAGCTGGTAGGGCACACAACATCCTGCAAGGACCTCCATCAGCACCTCTCATTTCCAAGTATCTCTTTAAACGGACCTAATTATTTTGTTACAGAACATAATCATAGGATAAGAGAAATAACTCTAAACAGAAAATTTTAAAGGAATGGTGTACAGTAAGAAACAGAGAATTTCAAACGAATGGTGTTCTTGAAACCGAGTAGTCAACCTCTGGCCATATTGTTCCTATATGGTTTTCCCAATCGTTAATAGTGGCTTGTTCATGAGAGAGATGAGAAATCTTCCCGGCCAAGAAATCCTGCAAAATTAAAAAATATGCTGGGATCATAAACACGGCTCAAACGAAGATCAAAAGTTTAAACTTTTAATATTATTCCGTGACTAAGAAGTAGACCCGAAATATCATTCCTCTGCAGTTGAGATAGCTTTTGTTACGATATAAGAAGCACATTGGAAGATCAAGTGCGTAGTCAACATACTTTTCAAACCTATATCAATACTAAAAAGATTAACCATAGTGTTTAAGAAAAATATCAGAGTTAGACAAATCGTTTTTGATACTCACCCGAATGAGTCATGGAACACAAAAGGTATCATTCCTGTGCGGTTCTTATCGGTATCTATCCATAAATGGCTGTCAAAACGTGTCAAGAAGATGAGAAACTAATACTAACAAACGGAATGCGCGCTTAAGAGAGAGAGAGAGAGAGAGAGAGAGAGAGAGAGAGAGAGAGAGGAAAAACCCCAAAGGAATGTGGAAACCAAACCTCCTCATGCTTAGAAAACCATTTGGTTTTCCATAACTGAAAGGGGAATTTGCGAATAGAGCTGTCGCCATCTGTGTAATTAGGATTTTTATATTAAAAAGGCGAGATAAATGATGTTTTATGTCAGAAAGTAGAAAAAGAAAACAAAGAGCTTCGAGAGCTCAAAGTTCTCACAGGTTGCAAAGCTAGACTAGCTCGAAACTTCCTGATCATATCGGTTTCTGAGCTATAGTCTAAATTGACTTGTACAGTACATGTTCTTAGCATCATGTCGGGCCCTGATGAGCCAACTCTCACTAAGTGGTCTCTTATAAAGTCATACCTTCTCTGCATGCACATACAAAACCCTTGACCCATCAGACGAATAGCTGGAGTAAGCCATGTTAACTATACCAGAATACTATGCTTGTGGAGTAAGGAACCTTGGGCACGGTAGCTACATTATCGAGACTAGATTTAGGTTCATAGCCGATTCCTAAGAAACCAATTCCCAACTCCTCAGCAACAGTTTTCACCTGATGTATATGTGAATGGAGCTCATCACAAGTTTGGTGCAAAGTCTCTAATGGTGCTCCACTTAGCTCTAGTTGGCCTCCCGGTTCTAATGATATGCTTTGCATTCCCTGAAAATACAAAAAAGAAATGCCAAAGAATATCAAATGAAATTATGTCATCATTGTTGGGTATTAAATAGAAGAGAACTTGAGTGCTTTACCTGTTTCAGACCAATGATTCTCCCATTCTCCATTATTTTATCCCAATCAAATCTCTCAGCAATACTATTAAGCAGTGCAGTTGTTTGTTCATATTTCACAGGGCGCAAGGTCTTGACCTCGAAACCAAATTTCTCGTGTTCTGTACCTATTCTGAATACCCAAGACATATAAAAATGCACACATGAGGTCTGGAAAAATAAGGACTTTGATAGAGTAAAATGGATGAGTTAGAACAAATAAGGATTTTGATAGAGCAGAATGTAATGGAAGATGATGATTATAGTGGCACCTCCACATCTCCTTTGGTTTGCATCCAGAAGCAAAATAGGCAATGAGATCTTCTTTAGTGAGTGGCTCAGTCGCGACTGCAGCGGAAGCACTTGCGGTTGCCTTAATCCGTTGATTGCTTGCAACTATCTTGCTTCCTTTACAAGTAAGAGATTGCTTGGGCGAAAAGCTAACATAGGTTTTCAAAGCACCAACCTCACAAGAAGAGAGCAAGAGCACCATGGTATAGTTCCTGCAGCAACTATTATAAGTTTATAACCCATACAAAACCGGCCCCAGTTGCCTAGAAGCTTTGGCTTTAGTATAACTTTTTTTTTATTATTTTAGTGGGCGTTATCGTATCAGAATATATAATAGCTCTATGGTAGTTGGATGTACTATTAGTTGTAGTAGTTGCGTTTTGTAATATCATATATATAAATTATGCCAATTATTTTTCCTACTTGGAAGTGGAATCATCAAATTTTCAAGGCGGGCTATGGTTATATATCACTTCAGATGAATCAAGCCACAATAAAGTACCATTTTAGAGACAAATCTTTGCTGACCAGCTATATATGTAGTCGCAAAGTTTCCGATTTTTTCAGGTATCTGATGTTATGAGAATTTAGGAGATAAATCTTTCAATTATAGCAAAATAGTGGGGAAGAAAAAGCAACGGATCTATAGCATATATATATTTGTAAATATCCAGCATATATTTTGATATGTAAATGAAACCTTAGGATAACTATATTATTATCACAACAACGTAAAGAACAAAAAGAACTATTCCTTTACAAGTATGTGAAGATGGTCAGCAGCAATAGTGAAAACATAAATGAAGAGCTAAGGAGACGAAAACAATATTAAGACAATAAGTGTATTACTATATATATTACAGAAATTCTGTTATCTATAGAAATCACCTGAAGTTGTCAAAGTTAGTGCTGAAGAAGAAGGGGAGCTAAAGCACGAAAGCTTGCAGGGTTAGTATAAGTAGCGGTTCATATATCTATAATACAAGTCGAATGAATGGACACTTTACACTCATATATATGATACTAACCAGAGCTAATTATCACACTAACTCTGATTACCTAACCATATATATAACCCATTCTGATTTGTTAAAAAAAAATAAAAAATAATAACCCATTCTGATGATTTTGCCGAACCACGTGAATCATGGGAAAACTGTTCTTTTTCATTGTTTACTATTAAGACAAAGTGATTGGACGCTTTGAACAAAAAAAAGAAGTGATTTGACACATTTTTAAATTAAAATGAGAACGGCAAAAAAACAGTTAGCTTGTTTACAAAAAAAATTAATATATCTGGTCAAAAATGGTTTTTTTTTAGATGGCGACAAAAGCAAAAAAAAAAAAAAAAACGTGCATGGAAGGAAGAGAAGTGAACGAGGCTAGGAAAGTGGGTATATTCATAGTGCAGTGGAAGTATATTCGTTTCCGAGTAGATGCTTCTCAGTGTTCTACTATAATACTGTCGGTAGTAACCTATGTGTCATTATCTCCGAGTTCCATCTAACTACTGACACCGATCAGTTGGACTTGATGATCCCCTCTTTAAAATCGTCATCTTCTTCTATAATTAAGTACATATATATCGTTAAAACCTAGAAATGAATAGTGGATCGAGGGAGAAATGCATGGTAAATCAGAAGTGTAATAAAACAATGAATATGTATCATCACTCATCAGTTAACTTGTAAGACGTGGATTAATTATTCAAAGTTACTAAATTATACAACTATAATTATGTGTGTATTTTATGGAGTTCATTCATCAAGATTTAAGACGATGAATACACTTATACACACATCTTCATCTCCTCACGAGCTATTTCTTCTTCTTTTTCTTTCTATATTTGTAATTTTTGTCGTTTGCTGATTACCATACCCTAAACCAATTGGAAGAGCATGTGAATAAGACGTCAAGCACGATAGCTTTATCTGCAAGAAATCGATCAAACATGAGAAACCGAAGACAACCGGAGGGGAGAGAAGTGTTTAACCGGATTGGAAGCGAAGATGTCGCCAACTGATCCAATTCCACTCTACGTTAGAATTTATATATTTTGCAGATTTAATAGACATGCTACATCTAGACGAGGATTATAAAAAAAAAAACATATGAACTGTGTGACATCAAACCCCTTTACGAGCTACTCACAACATTCATATATTATTCTCTAATTACCATTTTTTTCCCACACACCAACGACAAAGTTTTAACAAGGAGACAGTTTTATTTATATGTCTTCATGTCCAAAAGATTTTTGCAAACGTTCTTCATTTTGTATACGCGATCATATTACATCTTCTTAATACTTCATTTCCTGAAATAGAGGATCAACGCTTTGTCCCCAGTCTCCATTGTACAACTCCAAGAGCTTCTCTGCAGGCGTAACCCCTGAATTTTCCAAGAAAATTAGAACTGAAATATACACTAATACTACCAAAACTTAAAGCTAATGGGAAAAACAAAACATTACCTGTTTTAACCACCTCGGCGATAGCGTTTAAGAAACCGGTTTCATTGTACCCTCGACGCTCCAAACCATCCTAAGCAATAACAACAACAGAACTTTAGTACGTTAATATATATTACAAGGAGAACACAAGCAGACATGAGACCTTTGCTAGCTTTAGGACATCTTCTGCGACATGTTGCAAAGAACCATATCTAAAATTTGTCTTTAGGCCAGTGATTGGAACCTGTTTAAATACAACGAAAATTGATTTAAACGTGGATATAATATTGCACAGAAAAATAAGGTCTTGTGTTCTCAGTTCCAAGTTTACTTGTGTCCTAAGCATTTCTCTTTCTTCAGGAGTCCAATCAGATATCATATCAAGAACAGTTTGGAGAGACTCCTCATCGTATAGCAAACCCACCTGAGACTCAAATACATTCGAAATAATTCCACGAAAAAATAGTGTGTATATCTTTATAAGAGACAATGTGTAATTACCCAAAAAGCTGGTAGGGCACACAACATCCTGCAAGGACCTCCATCAGCACCTCTCATTTCCAAGTATCTCTTTAAACGGACCTAATTTTTTTTGTTACAGAACATAATCATAAATAAATTGACTCCAAACCACAGTAATAAAAAAACAGTGGATTTCAAACGATATGGTGTTCTTGAAACCGAGTAATCAACCTCTGGCCATGCTGTTCCTATATGATTTTGCCAATCGTTAATAGTGGCTTGTTCATGAGAGAGATGAGAAATCTTCCCGGACAAGAAATCCTGAAAAGGTAAGAAATATGTTGGGATCATAAGCTGGCTCAAAGTTAAGAAATATGTTTGTGATTATTCTGTGACCAAGAAGTAGACCCGAAATGTCATTCCTCTGCAGTTGAGATAGCTTTTGTTACGATGTAAGAAGCACATTGGAAGATCAAGTGCGTAGTCAACATATCTCTCAAACCTATATCAATACTAAAAATATTAACCATAGTGTTCAAGAAAAATATCGGAGTTACAAAAACCGTTTTTATACTCACCCGAATGAGTCATGGAACACAAAAGGTATCATTCCTGTGCGGTTTTTAATGGCATCTATCCATAAATGGCTGTCAAAACATATATATAAGAAACATGTCAATACTAAAAACGGAATGTGCACAAGAGAGAGTGAGAGGAAAAACACCTCCTCATACTTAGAAACCCATTTGGCTTTCCATTACTAAAAGGGGAATTTGCGAATAGAGCTGTCGCCATCTGTGTAATTAGGATTTTTTTATAAAAAAAGGTGAGACAAATGTTGTTTTGAGCCAGAAAGAAAAAAAAAGCAAGCAAAGACCTTTGCTCAAGATTCTCACAGGTTGCAAAGCTAGACTAGCGCGAAACTTCCTGATCATATCGGTTTCTGAGCTATAGTCTAAATTGACCTGGACAGTACACGTTCTTCGCATCACGTCGTCGGGATCTGATGAGACAAATCTCACTAAGTAGTCTCTTATTATGTCAAACCTTCTCTGCATGAACACAAAACTTTTAACCCATCAGACAAAGACTTGGAGTAAGCCATGTTAACTATATGTATATATACCAATAATATGCTTGTGGAGGAAGGAACCTTGGGCGCAGTAGCTACAGCATCGAGGCTAGATTTAGGTTCATAACCGATTCCTAAGAAACCAATTCCTAATTCCTCAGCAACAGTTTTCACTTGATATATATGTGAATGGAGCTCATCACAAGTTTGGTGCAAAGTTTTTAATGGTGCTCCACTTAGCTCTAGTTGGCCTCCTGGTTCTAATGATATGATTTGCCTTCCCTGAAATATAATAAGAAAGGCCTAATAAATTTAATCATATGAAATAATGTCATCATTTTTAGGTATCAAAAGAGAAGAGAACGGAGTGGTTTACCTGTTTCAGACCAATAGTTCTCCCATTCTCCGTTACCTTATCCCAATCAAATCTCTCAGCAATACTATTCAGCAATGCAGTTATTTGTTCATATTTCATAGGACGCAACGTCTTGACCTCAAAACCAAATTTCTCGTGTTCTGTACCTATTCTGAATACCCAAGAAATATAGAAATATAACAATAAACACATGAGGTCTGAACAAATAAGGACCTTTCTAGAGCAAAATGGAGGAGTTCGAACAAATATCATGACTTTAATAGAGCATAATGGAAGGTGATGATCATATAGAGTGGTACCTCCACATTTCCTTTGGTTTGCATCCAGAAGCAAAATAGGCCATGAGATCTTCTTTAGTCAGTGGCTCAGTCGCCGCGACTGCAGCGGAAGCGCTTGCGGTTGCCTTAATCCCTTGATTGCTTACAGCTATATTGCTTCTTTTACAAGTAAGATATTTCTTGGGTGAGAAGCCAACGTAGGTTTTCAAAGCACTCAAGTTTATAACAGCACCGGCCCCACAAGATGAGAGTGAGAGCACCATGGTATAGTTCCTGCAGCAACTATTTAAGCTAATTATAACCCATACATTAGTCGTAGACAGAGCCTGCCCTAGCTAGCTAGAAGGTAGGCAAGCTTGGGCTTCTAGCCTTTAGTATGTTTATTAATTTTAGTGGTCGATACTTTATCAGAATATCGAATAGCTCTTATGGTTGTGGGCTGTAATGGTGATTAGAGAGACGGTGAGGGATTCTCAAACTCCATTTTGTAGGGGTTGTGTTATGTAATATTAGAGATAAAATGATGCCAATATTTTATTTTCCTACTTGGAACCATCAATTTTCCAAGGCGGGATCTGGTTATGATGACTTCACGTCTTCAAGTGAATTAAGCCACTGCAACAAGTCACCATTGTAAAGACAAAATTTTGCTGAAATATTTGTAGTCGAAAAGTTTGATATTTTGAGATTAATTTTGGAGATAAATCTTTCAATTGTAGCAAAAGCGTCGGGAAAAAAAAAATCTCACATACTATATAAGTGTTCTTTTTATATATAAGAAATCAGCAACGGATCTCTACGTTATAGCATATGTGTATTCAGCATATGTTTTGTAATTTCGATGAAAAAAACATCACTTTAGAAATCTATATTATTATCACAACGAAAATAACAAATATGTGAAGATGGTGGAGCAGCAAGTCAGCAACAAAGAAAACATAGATGAAGATCCCAGAAGACGAAAAAAAATATAAAAGAGAAAGACAATAAGTGTATTGAAGACTCTTTTGTAATTACTGTGTAAACCTACGGGTATTACAGAAATAGAAATCACCTAAAGTTGTCAAATAAGAAGGAGAGCAAGAGCACGAAGGCTTACAGGGTTAGTAGAATTAATTAGTGTGATACTTAATATTTGGAGTTACCTTGAGAAATAAGATGTGTGTCTTACGTACTAAGTATTTTGAGCTGTGAAGATGTTCATAAACAATAACTCCTGGCGAGTCGGCGACAACAAAAAAACAAAAGAAAAACGACACGTAGTTTTCTTCTCACTCAGTGTGGAGGAGGAAAGGGGTGTGAATGAGGCGAGAAAAGCGGGTATATTCATAGTTGCAGGGCATTTATACTCGTTGTCGAGTAGATTCTTCTCACTCAGTGTCGCACTAACATCTGTCGGAAGTAACCTTAACTCGTTGTCGAGATTCTTCTCACTCAGTGTCGTACTAACACCTGTCGGAAGTAACCTATGTGTCACTATCTCCGAGTTCCATCTAACCTAGGATTGTTTGGACTTGACTTTAAAATCGTCGTCATCTTATTCTAAAATTAAATACGAATATACGGTTAAAACTTAGAAATGAGTTATGATCGAGAAGGAGATGGTAAATAGGACAACACACTATTACATTACTAATTAAAGACAAAAAAATTCCTAAAGCAGAAGTTCGAATAAAGCAATATACAGTAAGTTATCAAATTGGTTTTGAGTTAGAAATATATAATTTATAAAATATTGTTTTTTTTGTTTGATTTGTTTTTTTCTATCCGTATTGCTACGGCGGATCAAGACTTGAAAAAGGATAAGCAGACAAATTTGCAACAAGAAAAATGGGGTAATTTATTCAAAGGATCCAAACACAGGAAACTCCCAAACGATTTCACACACCGAAATCGATTTGTACAAAAGAGATAATCTTCTTCTGGCTTTTTCAATGCTTCGAATTTCGAAAACAAAAACTGTTTGCAAATCCGATTACAACAACAAATAAACCTTATTCCCCCCCAGAATTGAATTCTTCTACAGATAGCATAAACTCACACCCCAAAGGCTTTATAGACACCCCTTTCTTGTTCTCAGTAGAGCAGTTCCTGGAACACAGGATCCACGCTTTGTCCCCACTCTCCATTGTACATTTCTAAAAGGTTCTCCGCCGGCGTCACCCCTGCCATTTTCCAAATACCAAATTTCATTACCAATCTAAAAAAACCAGAACGTCGGTACCCGATTCGGTTATACATTGGGATCCTGTTATTTACCTGTTCGGACCACTTCAGCGACTGCGTTCAAGAAACCGGCTTCCTTGTAGCCTCTACGCTCCAAACCATCCTGAGGCAAGCCAAGTGTATATTTATAGTTAGGCACTGGTCCAGAACACAGATAGAAAGCTGGTTTGAGGTTTTCTACGAGGGTGCAAATGAACACACCTTTGCGAGTTTCAGGACATCTTCAGCGACATGCTTTAACAAACCATCTCTAAACGGTGTCTTTAAGCCAGTTACAGGAACCTGTTGCAAATGAAGTATAGGTTTTAAACGAGGATGTTTTCTAGCGGTGGAATAAGAGAGGATGTAAAAGTGGTTTGTCTCGTAATTACTTTGTTCCTTAGCATCTCTCTTTCTGCTGGAGTCCAGTCAGCTGTCAGATCCAGGATGCCTTGGAGTGTATCTTCATCATATAACAAACCCACCTGAGATTTGCAGAGAAGATCAAAACCACGGTGTTAGAACATCAGTGTTTCACCATGAAACCAAATCAAGAAGCAAGAGTATGTATATGAGCTAATAAATGTATTACCCAGAAGGCTGGTAGGGCGCACAACCTCCTCCAGGGACCTCCATCAGCACCTCTCATCTCCAAGTATCTCTTCAACCGAACCTGTTAATGTTATGGAATGTCGTCAAGCTTCAACGTAAGACAGGGAACTGAAAGTCAAATAGGCTAATTAAAGGACTCTTTGAGGCAGATGATAAACCTCTGGGAATATTGTTGTCAGATGATTTTCCCAATCATTGTACGTAGGCAGTTCACCCGGGAGACAAGGAAGCTTTCCAGCCAAAAATTGCTGCAGCATGAAGAGAACAATGGGATTACAAATGGCTCAAGAAGATTCTTGGGTTTCTAATTGTCCATTCACTTTTCCTACAACATAGTAGAAGAATGTAACAGAAAAGACAAAGGATAGATTTTGACCCGAAACGTCATTCCAGTACAGTCGACGTATTTGTTGTTTCGATAGGCAAAGTACATAGGGACATCGAGTGCGTAGTCAACATACTGCTCAAACCTATACCAGATAAAGAACAAAAGACAAAGATAGTATTTCAACTGAGATTCATGAACAGGAAAACGATTCATACTTCTTTGAACACATACATATGCCAAGAAAATCCGTAGAATAGCACATTAACTTTTCCATTACTCATCAAGAATGCAAAACAGAGTCACTATGACTTGATACTCACCCAAAAGAGTCATCGAAAACGAACGGTAACATTCCTGTGCGGTCCTTGTCAGTGTCCGTCCATATATGGCTGCCGAAACGTACCAGAGTTATAACGTGGAAGGGAAACAATAACTAGAATTTAATTAGGGATAATAACAACTGGATCTACAAACCTTCTCATGCTGAGGAACCCGTTTGGCTTTCCTTCGGTAAAAGGAGAATTCGCAAATAGAGCCGTTGCTATCTGTTGTATTTAAAGAAATTGAGACAATGGTTAGTGATAATCGTTAATAGAAGTTTCTGGTTATGCCACAAAGAGCTCGAGTTACTCACAGGTTGCAAAGCAAGACCAGCACGAAACTTCCTGATCATATCAGCTTCTGAGCTAAAATCCAGATTAACCTGTCAAAAATGAATGTTAAAGCAGTTTCTATAAGCTTCAACATAGGGTAACTGATGGGAGCTCGAAGTTTAGTTGAAGGAAATTCTGAAGAGACGCAAAGTCAGAATAATCATCTAACCTGAACAGTACACGTTCTGAGCATCATATCAAGTCCAAGGGTTCCAACTTTCGGCATGTAGTTTCTCATAATGTCGTATCTCCCCTGCACAGAACACATTATGTCAAATCTTACTGCCAGACCCATCAAAGTTAAAAAAAACATGATCAGACATGATACTAGTAAAACCTATACAAACAGAAATAAAATGCAGAAAACATCTGCCATGTAGAAACAGATAATCTTATCAGAAATAGCAACAAAAAAATGGGAACTTTTCATACCTTTGGCATGATGGGTATATCCTCCCGACGCCATTTGGGCTGAAACCCGATTCCTAAGAAACCAATTCCCATTTCCTCAGCGACAGCTTTTACCTATTAACATCCATATAAAGTTGGTTGCTTGTCGCACTGAAGGGTAAGAGTGTTGCTAATAATCATCTTTTTAAAATTACCTGATAAAGGTGTGAATTGACTTCAGCACATGTTTGATGCAAAGTCTCAAGAGGTGCACCACTTAGCTCAAATTGACCACCAGGTTCCAGTGAAATGCTTTGCTTTCCCTGATCAACAAAATGACCGAAAAAATTATCAACCGATAACCCAAAAAGGGAAAAAGAAATCCTTAATATCAAAAGCTAACATGTTATACAGGCCAGAAAAGTATTTTATAAAAAAGAGCAGCTCAAACGCTGAAACAAAGGGGACCGTTTACCTGCTTCAGGCCAATGATCTTGTCACCTTCCATTACTTTCTCCCATTCAAACCTTTCAGCGATACTATTAAGCAGCTCCGCTATTTGATCATACTTCATAGGCCGCAAAGTATTGACCTCAAAACCAAATTTCTCATGTTCTGTACCGATTCTGTAAACCCAAAAATGTTAAGTTAGCAAAATGGAATATTGCTCCAACTAAGAAATAGAGTTACTAGCAAATTGGTGGCATTTTAACAGAATATATTTATATTAGAATCAAACTATACCTCCATTTATCCTTTGATTTGCATCCAGAGGCAAGATAGGCAATGAGATCCTCTCTCGTCAGCGGCTCAGTTGCAACTACAGCCTCTTCTGTGGGAGGGCTCGCCGCAACAATCAGCTGATGCCCTCTCTTGCTCCTCTTAACAGAATGATTCGAATGTAGGGGCATTGATTTGGTAGATAGACTCCTAGAGTAGGAGCTAACATAAGCTTCTTTCATCCTCAACACATCCAGATTTCTCACACCACCAGAAACTGCTTTAGTTCCATTCTTTGAGCACACAGGTCCAGAAGGGACAGTGTATGATCCTGCTGCCTGAGACAAGAGCGCCATGGTATAGTCCTGCAACTATTGCCATTCATCATAAGCCATGAGATCTAAGTCCCATCACAATGGGATGAATCAGAGGAATCTACTACTAATCAATCGCTTTCCCACTTCTTACTTAGTTATGATTAAGGCTCCATGTTCCAACACTAATAGTGAAAGCTAAATTAATTTTTATCTAACGTTTTATCATCTCTTCACGTAACCAGATATCACAAACATCTGCATTTTCCCCCTTCCAAAGAAATCATTTCCTTTACAATTTTGTTCTATGAAGCAGAAATAAAGTTTTCACTTGACTGAGAGACTACGCATGTCGCCTGATTTGAATCAGCAGCTTCCACACAGTCAAACTATCTACCATAATCATCTGGGTTTAAATTACAAATCAAAATTCATCAATCATGTGGATCACAAAATCAGAAACAATAACGACAGCTAAATCAGAGCTAAAATCTGCGGAAAACTCGACTCTAGCCAAACTATACGAACAAAATGAAAACAATAATCAAAACCACAACTATTCAGTACTGAAAAAATCTGAAATCATGGGGAAAACGACCAAGGATTCAACAACAAAAAAAAAAAAAAAAAGACAAATCAATCACGGACCGAGAAAATTCCAGAAGTCTAAAAAAGCAAAGATTCAGAACCTAAGAGACGAGAAGAAGAGGAAGACGAAGAACCACACCTGAATTCGTCAACCGTGGCGGCGATTGAAACCAGAAGAAAAGAGCTAAAGCGAGACGAAAGCTCTTCAGCAGGTACGCATCGGCGTCTTCCTTATATATCCGACTGAGAAATGAGGAAGGAGATGATGTAAATATATATTAAAGAAAATGAAAATGGAAAAGAAAAAAAAAACTGTTATTACTAAAAGAGCACGAGGCCGATCAGTGGAGCTGAGCTGTCAACGAAGAAAGCGATAAATTGAAAAACAAAAAATGATTGAAAAAAAGATTCTTTGCCATTTTGCTTCCTACTTCTCAGTTATTTATAGAATTGACCTCTTTAGTTATAACTGTAAATTTTCTCACTCATAAAATATAAGATTAACATGTATATTTGGTTGCAATGGCAAAAACAATTTCAGAATGTTCAAAACATTTGCTATTGTTGAAGGTGAATTTTATTCCCCAAATATCATATACCCAGCTTGCGACACATTAAAATCAAATCCATGAGTCTTTTTGATGACCGACTTCTCGTATTAGTCGTATTTTATCCACATTTTTTTTCAAAAAAAAAAAAATCAAAGCAGATAATGCTCATCCCAACTATATAAGCATGACAAACATGTAAAACTATTTAGTTAAATATAAACATATAAACATATAAACTCTAAATAATTTCAATATAATACATATACTTGTAAAAGTAAACTTTGTAAATGGTATTAATTATTATCGAATTCATGAGCTAATATAAAAGAATGTCAGCACAATTGAAAAGTTAAAAAGAATATAATTTAAACTCGAAAAATTAAAAGTTCAAAAAATGTAATTTAGTCAATAGAACAATTAAGTAGTAGTAAATAGTAATTAAATGGTTGAAAATCACTTAAACTTTTTCATGATAGAGTTCGAGTCTTTGTACTATGAATTTAATTATTTTATATACCACTTGTAAAAAAAAACTGAATTTTTATGAGATTTTGCATAAACTAGTAGTGTAGGTCCAGGTTGTAAAATTAAAGTAATCGTAAACTCAGATATATTAATTTAATTATATATGATGATTTCTCTATTATTCTCCTTTGATTTTTATATTCTGTACACTAAAATACTTTATAAAACGTCGCACACCTATTTCCAAATACTTAGTTAAAACAAAAAAAATAATGAAAAGAATGTCTCACTAACCACATGACCTCAAATAAAATAATCTGGAACAAATAACCATGGTATATGAAAAATACTCTAGAAAGGTACTTTTATCATACCGCTATTGTGTCAAGTGTCGCCGACAAAAGATTTTAATTTGATGGTCCAAAATTTGGCGTGATATCTTAATATGACATACTTCGTGGTAGGTGGGATCAAAACATACTCTCTTCACTCTCTATAATCAACAAATGAATTAAAGAACAAAACATGTGAATGGTAGATGGGTCCACCCTCAAATTCTATGATATAATTCGTAATGAATTAAAAAATATCACAACAATAAGAATTACTAAAAAAACCATTTAGAAATGTGAAATGAAATCATCCTATTATAGCAATAACAAATATTACAAAGATCAATTAAAAGTATGAGGTACGTTCTGTAGTACCAATATCTATCTTTGGTTTAATTACTGATGCAGTAGACGTTGCACTACTTACTCTTCAAACGAAAAAAACATGGTTACAAGAACCTCGGCCTTATACCGTTTCTCTAAGAAACTTAAAGGACTTAAGTCGAGATTGAGAGAGCTTCGCAAGGAGAAAATGGGGAACATTACTCAGACAGTTAATGAAAGGTATGATATCCTATGTCAAAAACAGAAGGAAAACTTGTCTAACCCATCGGCGATAGCTATGGTGGAGGAAAAACGTGCATATGAACTATGGACACACGCAGCGGATATAGAGGAAGTCTTTTTGAAGCAGCAATCAAAGCTGCACTGGCTACAAATGGGAGATTAAAATAATAAGACATATCATCGAGCAGCAACAACAAGGAAGTCTAAAAACTCTATAAGAGAAATCCATAGTCAAAACGGAGCAGTTCTCAGAACCAGCGATGAAATCAAACAAGAAGCGGAGTCTTTCTTTAGGGAGTTCCTTAACTACGTTCCTCAGGACTTTGAGGGCTCTACGGTAGAGGGATTGGCAGAGCTTCTAGACTTCCGATGCCCAGAAAGGGATTGTGCTAAGCTGATACAAGACATCTCTGCAGAGGAAGTTCGAAAAGTACTGTTTGCAATGCCGAATAATAAGTCTCCTGGTCCAGATGGTTACACTGCAGAGTTCTATAAATCAGCCTAGGGAGTCATTGGTGATGACTTTACTACTGCCATTCAATCCTTCTTTGAAAAGGGTTTCCTTCCTAAGAGCATCAATTCAACAATTTTGGCTTTGATCCCAAAGAAAGATGAGGCTAAAGAAATGAAAGACTACAGACCGATATCATGTTGCAATGTTCTGTATAAGGTAATATCAAAACTCCTCGCAAACAGACTCAAGGCAATCTTACCATCTTTCATTACGCCGAATCAATCAGCTTTTATCAAAAGACGCCTACTTGTGGAGAATGTCCTCTTGGCAAGTGAGCTAGTAAAGGACTATCATAAGCCAACGCTTTCACCTCGTTGTGCAATGAAGATAGATATCTCTAAAGCTTTTGATTCGGTGCAGTGGAGATTTTTGTGCAACGTGTTAACAGCTATGGGCATTCCTAACCGGTTTATCCATTGGATTATGCTCTGTATCACAACACCGTCCTTCTCGGTTCAAGTGAATGGGGAATTAGCAGGCTACTTTCAGAGTAAAAGAGGCCTAAGACAGGGATGCTCCCTCTCACCGTATCTTTTTGTACTCAGTATGCATATCCTCTCGCTGTCTCTCAACAAAGCTGCACGGGAACACAAGTTTGGGTATCATGCTAAGTGTAAGAATCTACAGCGCACTCACCTATGCTTCGCTGACGATATTATTGTCTTTACAGATGGTACTTTACGCTCGTTGGAAGGCATTATAACCGTTTTCAATGATTTTGCTAAGACTTCCGGTTTAAAAATAAGCCTGGAGAAATCCACTCTATACCTAGCAGGCATAAAAGAGAATGAGAAAACGGCGATCATAGCCCGTTTCCCGTTTGCAACTGGATCACTTCCTGTCAGATATCTTGGTCTTCCCTTATTGACAAAGAGAATGGGAAAAGCAGGCTATGCTCCCCTGATCGAGAAAATTAGAATGCGCATTGGAACTTGGACAACACGTTTCCTCACATATGCAGAGAGACTGCAACTTATAAGTTCAGTTATTGCCAACATCACCAATTTTTGGATGGCATCGTTCAGACTTCCAAAGGCTTGTATTAAAGAGGTGGAGAGCTTGTGTTCTGCTTTTCTTTGGTCAGGACCGCACTTGAATCCTAGAAAATCGAAGATTGCGTGGGCGGATGTCTATCGTCCCAAGGATGAGGGAGGGTTGGGACTTAGACTTCTCAACGACGTTAATCTGGTTTGCAATATGAAACTGATTTGGCGTATTCTCTCAACAAAGGATTCGTTCTGGGTAAACTGGGTCAATGAATATCTTATCCAGCAAAACTCCTTCTGGTCTGTGCACTTTAGACAATCCTCAGGCTCGTGGATGTGGAGGAAGCTCCTGAAACTCAGAGAACTTGCTCAACCGTTCCATATTATTGAGGTTCAAAATGGAGAAGCCACATCTTTCTGGTATGATATATGGTCTCCGCTGGGCAAGCTGATTGACATCACTGGTACACGGGGAGTTCTCGACTTGGGGATCTCAATAAATGCAGCGGTGGCGTCGGTATTTGAAAACCATAGGCCTCGTAATCATAGGAATGATACACTCAACTCTATTGAGGGAACAATTCTGGATCAGAAAGGTAAATGAGTTCCTGGTGGTCGGGACAAGGCTATGTGGCGTCGAAAGAATGGTATGTTCTGTACTAAATTTCGGGCAAAGGATGTTTGGGAACAGCTACGTTCAGTACACCACTCGACTTCTTGGCATAATGGTGTTTGGTTTCAACATTCTACCCCTAAGTTCTCATTCATGGCTTGGCTTGCTATCCACAATCGGTTGTTAACTGGTGCGCGAATGGTACAATGGAATATGGGGATTTCAGGGGTCTGCAATCTATGCGCGGAGGAAACAGAATCGAGAGATCATCTGTTCTTCTCATGTACATACACTAGGAAAATTTAGGAATCTTTGGTATCTGGTCTACTACGCCAAAGGTATGTTCACGAATGGGACTTAATCATCCAACTTCTATCTGACTTCACAACTCCTAAAGTGGAGGTTTTCCTCTTTCGATACGCTTTT